AGGTGTGTGTATATGTAGTTAGTCAGGGTGAGAATCATTCCAATTAACTGCTAGATTCAAAAATCTTCTGGAGATTCTCAGGATCATTGCCTTGCCCATCTTCAACATATAAATGTATGGCTTTCCCCTGTCAGGTTTTGTAGCTCTTTTCTTTGCTCTCTTTACATTGTCTAGTCCTCTAGTTCTTGCTTTTCTATTACTTGTATTATACCTTTCTATTTGTATTTCTTCTTTTGAGTTCTTATACTAGGGAGACTATGATATTTACACATGTGTGTCTGGTTTATTTCACATATGACTATATCTTCAAGTGACATCTACTTAAATATGAAGGCTTTGGGTTTATCATTCTTTATACCTGAGTAATACTCCATTGCATAAAAATATCACATCTTTTTCATCCATTCCTCAGGTGATGGGCATCTTGGTTGTTCCCAAGATTTGGCTATCATAAATTGTGCTACTATAAACATAGACACACATATATCACTATGATATGATGTTTTCAGATCCTCTGGGAAGATTCCCAGTAGGGGAATAGTTGGTTTAAAGGGGATTTCCATGCCTAGTTTTTTAAGGAGTCTCCTCACTTATTTCCATAATGGTTGTACCAGTCTACATTCCCACCAGCAGTGGAGAAGGGTTCCTTTTTCCCCACAACGTCTCCAATGTTTGTTGTTGCTTGATTTCTCTATGATAGCCATGCTTTCTGGAGTGAGATAATATCTCAGTGTTGTTTTAATTTCCATTACACGGATGGTTAGTGATGTGAAGCATTTTTTTATATATTTATTCGCTTTTTCAAATTCATCCTCTGAGAAGTGTGTGTTCATTTCAGATGCCCATATCTGCGTTGGGTCTTTAAATTTTGGGACCCTCGTGTTTTTTTAGTTCTTTATAAATTCTAGAGAGCAGATCTTTGTCTGAGTACTTATTTGTCATGATTTTTTCAAAATTTGTGGGTTGTCTTTTCACTTTGCTGGCAATTTCTTTTGATGTGCAAAAACTTCTCAATAAGAGGAGGTCCCAGTTGTAAATTCTTTCAAGTGTTACCCATGCGACTTGATATTTATTCATGAACTCTTTGCCTACCTCTATGTCTTCAAGAGTTCCTTCTATTTTCTCTTCCAGAAGATTTAGTTTCTCTGTTTTAATGTTTAGATGTTTAATTCCTTTTGACTTCAGCTTAGTGAATGGTGATAGACCTGGGTCAAGTTTGAGTTTTCAGGATGTAGTGAGCCAGTTTTTCCAGTACCATTTGTTAAAGAGTCTATCTTTCTTCCAGTGAGAATGTTTGGCCCCTTTGTCAAAGATAAGATGGCTGAGTGTGTTTGCAGAGGTTTGAGGGACTTTTCATCTATTCCGTTGATCCTCAGGTCTATTTTGTTGCTAGTACCATGCTGATTTTATCACAGAAGACTTGTT